TCTGACCCCGCCCTGAGCAGGAAGCATCTGTGGGCCCACTGCTGTATCTCCTGCCTCACCCCAGTGCTCACTGCCCGGCTTTCTCTTCCTTGCAGAGAGCGCCTGCGCCTGCGCCTGCGAGTGCTACTGCCGCAGCAGAATGTCCAAAGGAGCCTGGTTCCGGTGGGTTCAACCAATTGCCTGGGGACAGAGCATGCCATCCTAAACTCAGGGTCCTTGGAGGCTGGGGGCAGAGCTGGTGCCAGGCCTGCTGTTGGGAAGGGAGGTTCCAGGTAATGTCTGCTTTGACCCCTCACTCTGTCCTCTCTTCCCCAGGCTGCTGCCATCCCTGCTGTCCAGTGGGCTGCGCCACATATCCCCAGGGCTGAATGTGCAAAGGGGCATCAGAGGAATAAAGAATCTAGGCCTGAAATCGGGGAGAGACCACTGCACAGGGAAATAGAGCAACACATACATGTACATATACAAACACACACAAACTTGCGTGTGGAGAATTTTTTTTATTCAACCATGACTCGTTTTCAGCGTTCCTGTGTCTGTGAAATCTCTGAGTTCTAATAAAAGTTGTTGACTGTATTCTGGCTCTGTTTTCCTCTGTGTGTCTTGGAAATAAGGGACTTCACACCCATCACGGCTGGGGTGGGGGGTTGGACAGGACATGCAGAGACCTGGGTTCTGGACCCAAATCCTGGCCCCTAACAAACCGACTGCCTGAAGCAAGTCAGGATCCCTCTCTGAGCTTCAGTTTCTCAGCTGAAAATGAAAGTGTCACCCAGGTGACAGAAGCGCTCAGGCAGACACAGGTTCCCCTCTGCTCTCACTGTAAGTGTTGAGGGCATAGAAACTTCTCCGCTTTGGCTGGGATCCCCAGCCAAACTTCAGTCCTGGGTGATGTTAGGCTTCCAAAGTTCTCAGAGGAGGGGCTGGCCTGGTGGCATAGCGGTTAAACTCACACACTCAGCTTCAGTGGCCCAGGGTTTGCAGGTTCGGATCCGGGGCGCGGACTGACACACAGCTTGTCAAGCCATGCTGTGCCAGGCGTCCCACATATAAAGTAGAGGAAGATGGCTGTGGATGTTAGCTCAGGGCCAATCCTCCTCAGCAAAAAGAGGAGGATTGGCAACAGATGTTAGCTCAGGGTTAATCTTCCTCACCAAAAAGAAAATAAAAGTTCTCAGAGGAGGTGGAATTCAACTCTCCCCTTGTTGACTTCTACACAGGGTTTCCTTAGAAAAAATTGTGTTTTACAGGACCTGTTTTTATTTTCCAACACAGTTTTAAACTTTAGTCAAATAAAATGAACTACTAAGAAAAACTTTCAAAGGATATTTCATATACAAAATCCATTTTTAGATTCCACACACATGATTTAATAAATATATGAAGAACAAAGAAGAAAAGTAGAGATTTATAAATGCTGCAATTTATTCATCGAAGGTGTGCACTGAGCACTGGAAACACTTCACAAACGCCCCTGGGTGTGGACCACGCACACCTTGAGTACCACTGCCCCCAACATCCTCACAGGGGACTAGCACTCTTGGCTTACCCAGTGCCACTGACGGGACACCTGCCTCCCCTGAGAGCTCCCTGTGGTGACTCGGCTGTGAATCTTTGGAAGCTCCTTCCTGGGTCGGGCTGAACTCTGCCCCTCCTTCCAAATCCAGCCTTGGCTCCTTGAAACTGGCCGTGATCGGGGATTTTGAGGGAAGTGCCCAGCCAGTTTTCAACAAGAAGGTACCCCAGAATTGTTTGCACGTGAAGTACTTCATGCCTGCTGGTGAAGGGGGAAGATGGATTCTACAGTTTGGAGGGCCCGGTGGTCTCTATTAGGCAGGAGTGAGGGGCTGAATGATTTGTAATTCGTGCCAATGGTTAGCCACCCTGGCTGTTGGTGGAGGGACCTGGAGGTTCCTGGAGGGATTGATTCGATGATCAATCAAAGAGAAAGAGAATTCACGTGGCCCAGGAGTCAGCACCTTGCTTACCCACAGATGTCTTTGGTGAAGAGTGGATTTCAGAAGCCAGCCTGTGCCTAGTACTTGATTTTGCTGTCAGGCTGTTCTGGTTCAGGGACCACTAGGCCACTTCCTGGCCAAGGGACCTGGGCAAGTCACTCTACCTCTCAGAGCCTCCATGTCCTCATTTACCTAAAGGAGATTATATCTCAATGTCAAAGATTAAATGAGACAGTATCTTGGCTCCCTGCTAGGGCTTAATACACAATCCATGATGCTCATACTGTTCACAGTGACTTTCTTGGAGACGGAATCCTGTTGAACCCCAACCAGCTCTTGGAGACAGGCTCATTGGTGTGGAAGCATGACTCTGGGATGAAGGTTAAGGTTGAGATTGGAAATTTACTGACCCTGTGGCGGGGAAGTTTGGATGACCTGCAATAAGCCCCCTGAGACAAGACGCTGCCACCGCATTTGAACAGACATGAAAGCCCTTCCCACCCTCCATGTTTTGTGGTTTTCACAGGACCCAGGGATTGAGACAGGAAACATGAAGTGGCCGGACTGATGGTGACGTCTTTCAGAGAGGTAAGCAACATGCCCAAGGTCACACAGCTCAACAATAAAGGTATTATTACCACCCAAGAGGGGGGCATCTGCCCATGGCAAGACATGCAAATAGTCCATGGGCGAGGTGGTAGGAGAGAAACGGTTTCATTACAGCTTGCCAGCAAGTGGAAAGACGGCTGACTAACGTCCAATGGAACAATTTTACAGAACAAAGAGTACTGGCAAGTTATATAGGGGGCTGTTCTCTGGGTGGAGGAGGCATCTGGTTTGCAGGTGGGGCAGAAATCTTAGTTCCTGATAATTTTTTGTTTTACTGGATGTGCATCAGAGACTGGAGCAATGCCCTATACCCAGATCTTTCAGTTGTCATTGATGATGGCTATCAGCATAGACCCTCTATGCGGGGACCGTCACATTCCCAAAGAACTCAAAAGAATAAAGTTATCAACTTACCACAGCTGGGAGGGCCATAAAATCTGCAGAGCACGTATATCTCCTGGAGGGTGCATACCCAGCTGAGTTAGTTAATCAGAGGCCATTCAAAGTTACAAAAATGTCTCTTTTCTACAATATGGCTTCCCTTATGTCAAGCTTGTGCTGAGTCGGTATCAGTACGAATGCTAGCCTCACTGCCTGGCCAGAACTGGCAGATCACAATGTCCCTGGATGCTACATCCTGCCTATCGGAGTCCAAAGCTGAAAAGACTCTTGGAGATGGACTAATTTGGCCCTTGGTGGAGAGATGGGAAACTGAAGCCCAGAGAGGTCACAGAGCTATGCACAGGGATCCCCCTGCCAGCTCAGGGATCTTCCCACTGCTGCCTCTGGGCCAGGTGTTCAGTGTCCTCATCTTTCACGTGAAGTGGGAGTGTAGGGTGGTGGGGGAGGGCATGTGCCGCAGTCACCCTGCATGAGTGCCAACCCCAAACGTGTCATTTCCGGCCCCGTGATATAACTTCTCTTGTGGCTCAGTCTCCCCCACTGTCAAAGGGGCAAAAAATGGAACAGCATATGGCTTAGAGGGTGAAGTGAGTCCGGACAAGTATAGAACTTTGTAAGGTGCCTGGCACGTGGTGAGGGGTCTATGATAATACCTATTACTTCATATTATTGTACACAGCATAGGGGATATTAATTTACCTCCAGACAAATCAGCAAAGGCTGGGGGCCTATTCTGTTTCCTTGTAGCGGAGAAAGAATTGAATTGAATCCTTGAGTTTAACATTTAATATTTAACCTTAATCTGAAACCTTGTAAACTTTGTCATCGTCAACTGGCAGCAGTTTCTTCTTGTTCCCCTCGTATAATTGCTCACAGGGTCTGAGATGATGCGGAAAGCTGGTTTATGGAACCCAAGATCCCTGGTCCCAAAGTACTGATAAGGAATGGATAAAGATAACAACTGACACGATGCCAGAATGTCTGCTCGGACCCTTGCACAGTTGCTCCCCTGGGTGCCTGTGGTCATGACCACCGTGGCTTCTCTCCTTTAATCTCCCCTTTAAAAACCCTAACTGCTGGTGCTTCAGGAGGACAGTGGGTTTTAAGGCACGAGCCTGCCACTTCCTCATTTGCTAGCAAATTAATCAACTACCTTTTTCTTCTCCTCAAAACCTTGTCAATCTGCTTTGTGATTCAGCTAGGTGACAAGGACCACTTTTCAGTAACATCCTGTTTTGTCCTCATCAACCACATGAGGACGTGACTTGCAGATCAGAGAGAGTCCTTCACTCTTCCCACAAAACTGTGATGGACACTAGGGATATAAAGCCATGAGGAACACTCTCCGTGCCGTATCAGACACCGAAAGAAATCTGCCGTTTCTTCTACCACCTACATCATATTTTAATTAACATTGTCCTTTGAGATGATTCCTATTTTCTTCTATGTATTTGTATTAAAAGCAAACTGTTTATCACTACTGAAAGTGCGAATCAATTTTATTCCAGACATGGAAGAGAGCCAGAAAATTATACATATTTTTCACTTAGGGATCACTTTTCTTCCTGCCTATGGTTGACCTGGCAGCTTGCTCTTTTTTAGAGGTTTCCAGCAGGAAAGAGTGTTGTAGACAGTCCCAGACCAAAGGCTGGCTTGTCAGGGACCTCCCTTTTCCCTTGGGAGGCTGACTGTATTCAGGTGCCAGCTGTGTGACTTTGGGCATGTCACTTAGGCTCCCAGTGCTGAGCTGTCCTAGTAGTCAAAAGGGCTCATAACTACAGGGATTTTCCTTTCAGTTTGTTGTGAGGGTACAAAGATCACAAGTGATTAAAACATGGCCTGGCCCACACTAAATGCTATGGAATTGCTGATATTGAACCTGAAGCAACGTGGCTCATCTGGCCCAGAGGAAGACAATCTCTGACACCAGGTGTGGTGGAAAAAAGTAGGAATTTTATTGCAAAGCGCTGAGCAAGGAGAATAGGCAGCTAAGGAACTCTCTGAAAAGCTACAAGCAAGGGTTTTTATTTGGGGTTTTAGGTAGGGTAGAGGGATCGTGTGGCCTTGGGGGCTGAAGTTCTAAGAGTCCTCTGACAGGCATGACTGTCTGTTCTACGTGTTGCATGCAGTGATTCTTAGTCTTTGACAGGCTAAAGTTTACAATCAGTCATTTTAGCTTCTGAATGCTCCTGCAAGATGCTTAGTCAGGTGGGGGCTGTCAGCAAGTTCCTCTCTTATCAGTGGTCCTCCTGGTGTTCTGCAAGGCAAGCTGAGAAACTTTGGTTATTTTGTTTCCCATGTTAACCTAGTGGGGACAAGGCACAGTTTCACCACAATCCATGGGAATTATAACTCCTTCATTCTCAGTTTCAATACCCACTCTCTTTTGATCATTCCTCAGTCTTGGGGAATGGGGGTGAAGACCACTCTAGCTCCTTCCTGTTGTGAACGGGCAAAGTTCAAGGTCAGGGGAATGAAATAGATCTACCTTTATTTTAAAATATTCTTGGGACAACAATGGCCACCGCCAATGTCCCAGTCCCTGGAGAGGTCTCACCTCTCACCAAGATGCACTCAGGGCCTATCAGGGAGAGGAAAAAATCCATCAAACAAATGATTCAAGGTTCAACTCCCACACACTCTCTGGCAGCTAGTGTTCTCTGGGAAATATGAAGCGCAGTTCTTGCCAATAGTCCTGGAAACCTGAGCCCCTGCAATGCTCCATGTCTGCAGATGTGTAGCACAGAGCATGTCGAAGTCACTGCTTCCTGAAGGAGAACAAGCCCGCCTTACATCACATCCTCCTACCACCACAGGTGGCCAGCAATTTTAAAAGTCAATATCTTGACAAATTTTGCAAAAACGACAGCTGTTTGGAATATCCATGTTTAATGCACATGAATTTAATGTCTTCCTGAAACAATGGAACCCTTTCCTCCTTCAGAGTGTTTAATAGGAATGGCATGAGCATGAGACGTGGAGCCAGAAACTCTGGCCCCAGCCTGGCCCGCGACAACAAGCTGGTGATTTCTCTAAGCCATCATTTCCATATCTGTAAAACAGGGATCCTAAAAACTCCTCCTTCAGAAAGGTCAATGAATAAAAAATATATGGGAGAGCACCTTAAAAAAAAAAAAAAAAAAAGAAAAGAAAAAGAAAATATTCTTGGGCACCAGGTGGGGAAGAGGGAGGTATTTTCTCTATAAGAAATATTTGAATACTCTGATCAATGGCCTTGGAACAACACTCAAGTCCACATTTTATACATAGATAGACAACCACACATATCAGCAGAATAGACAGCCCAAATCTTAGTATCTCTTCCATAATGGACCTTAATCCTTGGGGAATCCAGGAGAAGAGGCCTGTAAAGGAAGGTTAGGACCTGGAACCTCAAGTGAAATCTGATGTAGCCATGTAGCCTGCTGTCTAATAGTCCAACGAGTAAGGTAAGAACCTGGAGTCATTTATTACATATCTTTAGGAGACCATCTTCTCTACAGCAACTTGAGGTCTATCAGAGGTTCACTTGTTCATTTAGAGAAATCAGTGTCTGGAATATGAAGTCAGCCAAGGTTCAGGTGGTCCTGGTTGTGATGTTCTTCTATGGCATGGTTCCCATTCCCTGTGGCATTTCTTGTTTGGTCCCCTCCAGCGAGGATGAAGTTTATCTTCTGGGTGCTTGTACTTCCAGGATTTTAACAGGGCCCATTATCCACAACAGAGATGGTGCAGAGGAACATCTGACAGTGTCCAGTTCCTTAATTTGAGTTCTCTCTGGGTCGTTTGGATCATCTCTAGAACATAGGGAAGGTCTCCCAAAGTTAGGCCTATATTGTGTAAGGAAGTAACCAGATACTTAATAAGAAGTATTTCTAGAGAAAGAAAAAGAAAACAAGGTTAATGGCTGGAGCAAGTTATAAATAATTCCTGAGCCAAGGGGCTAGCCAGTCAAGAAGATTTCTAGACGTCAGGGTCAAAACATCTTTTGCAATTTGAAATGTTTCTGATGATGTCACTGGGTGCTCAGGTAAGCTTTTTGAGTGGCTTATACAGCAACAGGCATGAAGATTGTCTAAATACGGGCTATCATGGTGTTCTATCTTACATTTACATTACATTGTCCAGCTTCAGTTTGTGGGTAGAAAACAAATACTTCAAAGATAATTAACAGAATCAGAATTAAATATCCACAAATTGTATTATAGTTTCTATTGAAACATACTTTTTCTCTCTAACCCTCAATTTTACCACAGATAGCTAAATTAAGATTCACTGGTTAGCAAGATGAGTCAGTCTCAATGAACTTGGCCCAATTATTTTCATCAGAATAGCAATTGATCATACAGGCTCTTTTAAATCTGCTTTGCTGGAACTTTTCATAAAGAATCTCAGATTGAACTTTTTATTTTATTTTATTTTATTTTATTTTATTTATTTTTTGTGAGGAAGATCAGCCCTGTGCTAACATCTACCAATCCTCTTTTTTTTTTGCTGAGGAAGACCGGTCCCGGGCTAACATCCATGCCCATCTTCCTCCACTTTATATGGGATGCCATCACAGCATGGCTTGCCAAGCGGTGCGTCGGTGCATGCCAGGGATCCTAATCGGCGAACTCCAGGCCACCACAGTGGAGCATGCGCACTTAACCGCTTGCGCCACTGAGCTGGGCCCCTCGGATTGAACTTTAAAGGCCCCTTCAGGACAGAAAAGCCAAGCCAAGGACTTGTTATCAGACTCTGCCTGCAATGCCTACAGATTTGGGTGAATTCCTCTCTTTTTGACGTCCCCCAAATAATCTGAGTTTCTTGCACCTGCCAGGGAAGTGACCTTCTTTACTCACCTGTTAAGGCTGCTGGGAACCCTGGAAGCAACGTACCAGGTCAATATTTCCAAGTGGTTTTATTTGTTCCATAAAGTCAATCTTTGTCCCTTAAAGCTGTTTGGTCATATCTGAGTTTTTGCACGTTTCTCTAAAATATGACATTTCAGTCAAAACTGGGCAATATAACTGGTGTTTCCAATTGTATCCTGCAATAAGGAGAACAGATTCTTATTCAACTTACACAAACAACTATAGTGCCATGAAAATAAGAATACTCACTCATGATGAGTTTTCAAGTTCTGGAGGGATCAGATAGGGAGGAAAAGATAAATGCTTCAATTCTTCTTACAAACGGCAACCAGTCATAGTTTCTTAAGAGAAAAGAGAAAATTTTCCCTTAAATCTAGAAAAACAAAAAATTAAAAGTCAGCAATATTTCAAATGAAAAGTCATAAAAATTATCAGCATCCTCATTAATTTATTCAGTCTCATATAATTAATTCTTGAACTTGGTCTTCTGTTAGCAGTTTTATGAAGCCATCAGTTTCTCCATTAGCGTTCTGTAATTTCCTATCCAGCTCAGTCTTATGATCTGAAAGTTTATCAGAAATCTACATTCTAGAGCAAGTGTCAGAGTCCTTTCCATGAATCTCTCTAAAGATGAAACACATCTGCAAAAACATCAGAGTGAAACCACAATTGTCTGCTAATAACAAAACATTCAAAAATGGCAATTGACAAAGACACTTGGCCATTTCTGTGACATATAACACTTTGAAATAGTAACGAGAATTCTGACTGATAACCAAGACAGATCAGAATTCTAGGAATGTTATATTATTTTTTAAGCATTTATATTAATAACATTTACTCACACTCTCTAACCTAGGAAGGTTCAGCATCACTTATTTGATAATGTTTCCCATGTAATTTAACATACCAAATAAGTCTAATTAGTTTAATATTTCTCTTTATGGAAAGAGACAACAAATTCTTTGAGAAGTCCCAGGGCCCATTGGAAATTCTCAAAGTTCCTTTTTAAGTCAAAAGAAAGACTTTACCCAGGATTCAAACCTTGGGGGTAGTTTGTCAAAAATATCAAAAGGGTTTAAAATGCTTGTTCAAAGAGGAAACAATGCTTAGTTATCCATTCAATCAAGGTGGCAATGGAAGATGTCAAAGGGAAACAGAGAGGATTTAAACAATTTTAAAAAGAACGTTAATAGAGAGACCTCAGACGTTTTGACCAAGGAAACTGTTTTAACAAAGCAGAGACTTTTTCTCCCATAGGTAGACTTACTCAAACACAGTGAAAAACCCTATTCAATCTCTTTATCAAGAGCAGACCAAAAGTTCAAAAACATCATCCTTTCAAGAGAGCAAAAGTCAGATTCTAATTTTGCACCAGCTTACCCTTGATATTGACACTCATTCATTTAATTGAATTCATTGTAATCTCAGCCAACTTGATTAAATGTTACACAAAACTCCTCAGGGTTTTACTTCCACAAACCTTCTGTCACTTACTTTTTACATTCAGAATTTGTCCCATGCTTTCTTTCCTGTTTTCTTTCTAGTACTTGAGGACAAATTTATCTTTCTTAACAAAACAAACAAAAATATCTCTATTCTTTATAGCTTCTTTACTGAAAACATATATTTCAAATTCCCTGTCTATAAAACATGTACTTCCTCATAGAAAATTCCCCTGAAATCACAAAACATGTTTATCAATAAACCTAAGCCTCTTTCAGTTTCTCTGCGATAAGAAACCAAAAGCAGACAAATGTATGCTTAGTAATCCATTTCTACTATTTTATCTTATGTGGAAATGATCTAGATACTCAACAAATTTCTAACACTTCACTTAAGTTAGCAAAACTCTAAAGTTTCAAGTTACCAAAAAGCTTTTGGAAGCTGTTTTTCAAGTATACAGACCATAAAACATAATTATTACACCCACAAACTTTGACCCATTTTCATCTATATAAATCATTTCTTCCCAACAATTAGGTTTAGATTACTTACAAACACTTCATGTGACATTAAAGCAGTTATCGATCATCTTTTAGTATATACACCACAACACACAATTATTGTTAAAAAGTTGTCACAAAACTTTCATCCTTTTTGCATCTCTTTAGTTTACCTGTTCTCAACAATTATATTTAGTTTGCCTACAAAATCCTCATGAGACATCAAACAAAATCAGCT